CCCCCGCTCTGCCCCCCCATCCCCCGCCCCGCCTGCCCACAGGACCACTCACCGCCTCCAGGGTCCACCACAGATTGCCCAGGCAGCCCAGCAGCGCTATGGCGGCCACACCCTCTGCCCGCACACTGCAGCATCAACTGCATGATGGGGTGTGAGGGCAGAGTCTTGTCTATGCTGCCTGGCTGCCATGTCCTTGGCTGCGCTGCTCCGTGTGGGCCACGCTCGAGGGCGAATCTCCTTCAGGGGGGCTGCTGGAGAGGAGAGGGTCACGGGGGGAGGCAAGGCTGGGGCAACGGCATGTGTGCCCACAGAGAGGGCTCCGAGTGCCGCCTCTGGCACCCGTGTCATAGGTTCGCCACCACTGCTCTAGATAATTAGCAGAACAAGTTACAGCATCTGCATATGTGTTTGTATTTCTGTTAAGATATTAAATGTTGTTAATATTTAAGTACTGCTTTGTATCAAAGAGAGATGGTCTAATGTAACATTCTTCACAAGTAAGCATCATGTTTCAAATGAGCAGATCTTCTAAGATTTCCTTTCAGCGAAGAGCAGATTCCTTACAGGGAAATTGAGTGAGTAAACAGAGACCTAGTGGATTTGCTTAGGGAATTCAGCGGGGGAATTCAAGGGGATTCTATCACAATCAAGAATTTGTGCTTAACCTGAGAAAAGGACAACAACGAACAGTATACAGCCAGTAGAAAGGTTTTTAAGAAGATGGACAGAAATTCCATTTTGCTTATAGCATATTTTGCTGCCTGAAAAAAAAACCTGGAATATATTTGCATCAAATAATGCTTGTTGCTTTCCTTGAAAGAAAAGTCCAAGAATTGGATCGATGAGAGATAATATTTCACTTGTAAAAATGTGAAGTGGATTTGTCAGTTCAAAGAGAAGTTCCACGGCAGAAATGTATAATGGAAGCATTCCTCCATAAAAAGGCAGATAAATAGAGCTCCATAGTGCAGTAAATGAAAGTAACAGGCAGAAGTGAGAGATATAGCCTATTCTTCACTATTGGAAATCAGGAATGGCTTTCAGGCCGTCGTATGAAATAGACTAAATGTTCGGAGGAAGAAAAAGACAATAGAAGAAGAGGAGGATCATAAATCTCCAAAGGATAGCTATGTCATGAAGATAAAGGCAAGAGTTGTGATAGCTGGTGATTTACTATTGTAAGAAATTGTATGGCATTTGGGGCCACTGGCTTGTGAAATTATTGTCTGCCAGAGCAAGAATAAAAGTATAGATAAAATATTTTTCAAATCTTATCAGTCTGGTGACAGTTATTTTTTTCCTGCTGACATATGTGAGGACAAGAGATACTGCAAAGAACAGGCACAGCTACATTACTCTAGAGCAGTGGTTTTCAACCTTTTTAATGCCGCGACCCCCAACCGGTCGTAAGCCGAGGACTAAACTGGTCGTAAGTCGAGGACTAAACCGGTCGTAAGTCGAGGACTAAACCGGTCGTAAGTCGAGGACTACCCAACCGGTCGTAAGTCGAGGACTTTCCCTGCCCGGGAGCGCCGCGCATGCGTGGCTCCGCCCCCTGCGCCGGCCGAGGCGTAGCTGGCAAGCGGCAGAGACGGAGCAGGCCGACCACCAGCTGGCCCAGCCCAAGGGAGGTAAGGCACCCGCTGGAAAAGGGGAAAAAATGGCAGACAAAAAAATGGCGGACAGCCTTGCTTGGCGACCCCCGTGAAATGGTCGATCGACCCCAAATGGGGTCGCAACCCATAGGTTGAGAACCGCTGCTCTAGAGTTCTTGGGAGAAAGTTTAGGATATTGACAGCTTCTTACTATCCTTCCAGTCCATTGAAGATGCCCAGAAAGAGAAACCTGGGTAAGCAGATTGTGTCAACAACAGGTAGTCTTTGTTTATTGATGACAATTGAGCCCGGAATTTTGGTTGAAAGTTGTTGCGGTCATTAAGATATCCACATGACCACTTCATTTAACAACTGCAATCCCAGCTCCCCCAGTTGTGGTTAAGCAACCATGTGGGTTATTGAGGGGATGGAGTGAAAGAGATGCCTGCCAAAGGAGGGCAGCTCTTTCTCTCTGGCACAGAAGGGAACCCCTTGCGCTGGCAAGCTGAATGGGGATTGGAGTTTTGGGATCCAAGTTTAGTTGGTCCAGAACTGGAGTCCCCTCCCCACACTCTTAGTGCAGAGAAGGATCCTTTTAGCCAACGCATTTGACAGCAAAAGCGTTGCCTTCCAGATTGATTTGGCCTTGTGCAGATGGAATCTCTCTGCCAAGTAGTTCTTTCACTTTCAAAAGAGGCTGGCTGAAAAAGGTCTGCCTACAATCTAAGCAAAAATCCAAAAATCCAGCCTCCAGGAACCAGTTAGATGGCAGACGCTTACAACCTTGCCTACCAGATGAAGCTGTCAGGGAAGATTGCAAATGGTGACCACGTGATTGCAGGACTCTCGGCAACCTATCATAAGTATGAAGTGTTGTCAAACACTCAAATTGCAATCATGTGATAATGGGGATGGGGTGGGGGTGAATGCTACAACAGTTGTAAACTTGGACATGGATCGTAAGTCCCTTCATTCAGTGCTGTGATCATTTTTAATGGCCACTGAACAGATAGTCATTTACCAAGGAGTTATATTGCATGTTTGAATATCCATCCTTGCTAAGAAGTCTAAATGAATTAATTTGGAAATGTTATAAACCTATCCAGCCAAGGTGAACACATGGATGATAGCCTCCAAACACAAATTGCAGATATTTCAAAGATTCAGGAAGAAAGGAAGCAAGCTGAAACTGATTATAGTCAAACATAATCTTGGACCTAAAAAAAAAAAAAGCAGATGGAAATTCCTAAAGAAGGAAGTGTCTACTCAAAAAGCTTAGCGAAGCTTGAAAACAAGAATGCAGAAAGAGGGATAGATCACAAAGCAGGTCACATAGGCCAGCATAATGGAGCCGCTGTCAGTATATGAAAACTCAGAGAGATTAGCAAAAGATTGTAATAATTAAAAAAGGCTTTGTGGGAAGACAATACTCATTGATTCCATTTATCCCTCACGTCATTCGCATACAGCTTAGCTTTAAAACCATGGGCAAGGCGAGAGAGAATTGAACTCTGCATAGCATGGGACTCAGGTTGCGGTCAAGGTTAAATCACTCTGGATCTGGATCTGAGGAAATTTCAGCCAATAAACTGGGTGGCAGTCAGGTGAACGAATGAAAATAAAAGGCTTTTATATTATGAGTAGTTATGGCCTTGCCAGCAGCAGTTGAGTATGCCAAATGGGGAACAGCTGAGGCCACAGTAGACTCAGCTTACACAAGGCTCCAGTTGGGACCAGCCAGGATCACACTTGCTGATGTTGAGAGAAGCTCAACTAAAGTAAGCAGCCACCAGTACAGTCCAACAGCCTTCCAGTCCTGCTCAGCAACTGGGAGCATCCACTGACAAGTGATAAAGAAAGGGATATTGAAGGGAAATAGAGAGCTCCAAGAAGTCCCATGTTGTAGATCCCTGATTATAGTAGTATTGTACATGAGAAGGAATAAGGCTAGAGAGGAGAAAAGAAAAAAAATACATAGGTACTAGCTCGGGGGCTCACACCAGTGGTGGCAGTTGGGCAGGCATCACTCTTCAGGAAGGAAAGAGAACTCTCTTAGTCCAAAATTTCAGGGGCAAAAACATTCTGAAGTAGCAGGTTAGTTATCTCCATACAAATAGCCAGTGGAATTAGGCACACTATCTGCAAGAGGATATCCTGGTTAAGTTCCCCATCCTTCATGAATAGGAGTAAAGCTTAGCTTCTCAGTAAGAAATGCAGTCCGGGAAAACAGCCAAGAGTGAAATAGCCCAGATAGAGATGAACAGGTGCAAGTTTGGAACGTTTCCCAGAAAGTTAGTTCGTTCAAAGTGGAAATGGAAAGTTAAAAGCCTTCTTCGTGTCTATAACAACAGAGGAGAAAGAAAGTTTAACCTAGAGCTGGTCTGTGTATGGCCTGAATTTTTGTACCATCCTGAACCTGTGACAGGCTTATCTATTGTCAGAATAAAAGGAAAAAGAATCAATAGACTAGCTGCTCAGCAAGAAAAACAAAATGCTAACAAGTAACAAAGGAAAGATAGATCTAGATTCTAGTCAATTCTTATTTTGGTTCAGTTTTCTTTGTGTTCCCACAAGACAATGTGAAGGGCAGGAGGAAAGAAGAAAGATTCAAAGAAATATGATTAGGAAGTGTATCTTCTGAGTGAAGTCCATTCTCAGGGACCACATGAATTGCATACTAGGTTACTGGAGAAACTAATAGACTAAGTGAAAATTCATATGTTATCTTTGAGAAGTCCTGAAGAACTGATGAAAAGCCAGATAACCAAAGGAGAGTATGTATTTATATAAAGATTATCTTATCTTATTTCTATCATCAAAAAAGGGGAAAAGAATGATCCAACAAACTACACGATAATTAATCTGACGTTGACATCTGGGAAGAATCTAGAGGAGGAATAAAGATTTTGATCTGTAACCACCTTGCCAATATGATGGCAATTACCAGAAGTCATCATTATGGATTTGTCAATAACATACCTTGCTAGATTAATCTTGACACAATTTTGAGATTTATTTCTGAAATAACTGTCAGAAAGCTGTAGGCATAGCTGAAGTTCAGTAAAGCATTTCATCGAGTCAGCTGTGTCATGAAACTTAGCAAGCTATTTAAGCATGTACTGGATGATTGGATGGACAGTTAAGCAGATAGATGCTAACCTGAAAATTGTACAGGTAGTTCTCAACTTAGGCCATAATGGAGCCTGTCCTTTATGATTGCAAGTGGTGATGGCCATTAAGCTGGGTGGGAAGTAGGCCTAGCCCTATAGAATCTAGCTCTTCCATGTGCTGATAGCTTCTGGCAACTAGCTTTAGGCTCCCTTGTATGGCTTAATAGCCAGGTTGGGAGCAGGTGGGATGGGTGGGGGAAATAAGGGGGCTGCAGCATTCCTGCAGTTGGGTCATAAGTTTAAACAAAAATGGGGGGGGGGATCTAAAGTGGCCATAACTTTGAAACCAGATGATAAATATCTATTGGGCAGTCTATTGTAACTTCAAACAGTCACTAAGCAACCAGTTGTAAGTCGAGAACTATTTGTATTCACTGAGTACTTACCAGTGGCTCATTATCAAACTGAACAGACATAGCAAAATAGGTATCGTAAAGATCAGCCTTGGATCCTTGATGCTTTAGTATGCTTACTAAGATTTGGATGAAGAGGTAATACAAATGCTTATCAAATTTACAGATGATACTGAATTGGATGGGATAGTGAATACTGTAGACGAATTCAAAATGTTCCTAATAGATTGGAGCAATGTGTTACGAAGAACTGATTGAAATTTAACAGATATAAGTGCAAAATTTAGTTTTTGCACTTAGTTTTAGGGAAACTTTGGTTTTCCTAAGGAAACTAAAAAAATCAATTATACAGTATAGGACGGAGGATACCTATATTAAAAAAATCTTGCAATAGTAGTTAATTGCAGATCTGAATATTAGTCAGCAGAGTAAGGTAGTTGCAAAGGTGACAAATCCAATTTTAGGTTGCACCAATAGAAATAGAGAATCCCACAGAAAGTAATCTTTGCCCTCTATTTTACTTTGGTTAGATTCCACTTCAAATACTAGGTTCACTTTTGGGCACCACATTTGAAGCGGAATTCCAAGAATTCAGAGAACTGCAGTGAATATGATTGGGAACTGGAAACGAAATCCTGCAAAGAAAGATCAAAGGATCAGGATACCTGTAGCTTGTGAACAAATGATTGAAGGGGGAATACCTCTTCAAGTAGATGAAAGTTATGGTCTATTTTTACTCATTTCACAGTGTGGGATACAGAATTCTATATTTTAAGTCACAGAGAGGCATTTTCCAGTTTAATGTTAGAAAAAGCTTTCTAAGAGTGGGAAACTGATAAAGGAACCCAAACAGCGGTAGATACTATTTCATTGGAATGTTCAAACAGAAGCTTAAAAGACTCCCGCACTGAGCAAGGGTTGGATTTAGTCGTTTAAAGAGCAGCTTCCAATTCTCTGATTCAGATAAATGTATTTGTAACAGGAACATTATCAGTATCTAAGGTTGCATAGCAGTTGTGAAGCTAAGTATGTGTGTATGTGTATGTGTCAATGGCACTTCAGGGCAAGATTTCCTTTGAGCTTCCTTGTCATAAATACTGCATGGTATTCAGAGCTCAAGTAAACTCAAAATCTTTTTCTGAAATTAATAATAGCTGGATAAAATATCTCCCATTAATTTGCAGTTATAGCTTGTTACGGTGTAATCTTAAAAGTGATATAATAAGGAATAAAGAAATTATGATAAGGCCTTAATAATATAATAGTACTGACACACATACACCCAAACAATCTTCCTTCATGCAAAATGGAAGAAATTAGAAACATAGTTCTCCCAGTGCTTCAGGAGCAAGATATTACTGAAGTTTTTTAGGATTATTATAGTTAAGAAATCCTTAAAAGAGTGGCTTTGTGTAATGTTCTTTTAAGCTATCCTTTCATAATACTGTTTTTGATGTTTAGCATTTTGGATAGAATGTTTATTATTAGGGGAAATAACAAACACTAGTATTTATTTTGAGTCATCTTATAAGCCAGTTTGGGGAGAGGGCTTGAAACTTGAAAAGTGGTCCAAATTAAGTAACATGAATAATATAAATAATTCAG